AGCAGCTTGCCCATTGCATTCTTCATGAAAATAAAATAACTGAGGTTTACAGGGACCATTCAGCTGTTCTGTCTGCCAAAACTGAACACCATTATTTTCCAGAAGTTAAAAGGAGAGAACGTGGTGGTGGAAAGCTACCTGGCCAAAGTCCTGTCCTTACAGAGGTGATCTTTTGGAGACTGTTGCAGACACTAAGCAAGTAAATGAAGGACAGATTGAAAGAGGATAGAAACAGAAGGATTTACAGTTTTGGAGTTTTTCAAAACTTTGTAGCATTTGCTCAGATATGAGCTGAATATCATTAATCTGAAGCTAACCCTTCTCCAAAATCTGAAACTGTAATGAATCTGCTAATTTTAGAATGTGACTAAAAAGAATTTCTAATACAACAAAGGCTACAAACTAAATAACATAGAATGGTATAGCAGAGTGGCTGGCGGGGCAGAGACACAGTAGAGGATTTGGAAGTCATCTGTGAGAGGGTAACACTGAGCTTTAGAAAGCCCTGATTCCAGGAGGCAGGCCCACAAGAGCAAAGTCCATCAAAGAGATGGACACTAGAAGAATAAAGTTAGCAACATGTCTTCAATGTAACTGGTATGTGTAAAATTCAGATCAACCATTCACATTGATTAAATGTCTTGGCTAGTATTGCCATGTTCTGTGGCTCAATTATTCACTCAAAATAAGGATGGTCTTATCACAACAGCATCAAAAATATAATTTCTGGAAGGACATAGTGTTTGGGGAGCATTGTGAAAGTGAGATATCTGCTTACCACATGCTTTACCTATGACACGTTTCATCAGATCAAATATAATGGGACAGTCTACCTTGGACTGGAACCTCCAGAACCATGAACCCAAATAAACTTTATTTTGTAACTTAATTTTTCTAATTCTTTTGACATAGTTGCAAATAATGAGCCAGCATAATTTGTATGCCAAGAAAGTCCTCCAGCCTTGTGGAATTCTACACACTTTAGAAAGGTGGTTGCCTTCTGGACTTAGGGCCTATTGATACATGCAATTTTCTTTCCAGTGGCACTTGACAGGTCACTGCCATAGCTTGACATGATGCTTTTTAGCCTTTTTACTCCTTAAATACTAATAAATTATTTTTAATTACAAATTTAAATTTAATTCTTATTACAGTTCATTTTACTATACAGTCTGTGGTTTACTTTTAAAACATCAAAGTAAAAAACGAGAGGAAAATATTCATCTAAGGAACTAGACAAAAATTAGAATAAAAAATTCTAAAAAGCACTTTAATATCATTTAAAAGTAGGTAATACACAAGTCTAATATCTGGTAAAACATTAAATGATGCTGCTTTTTTTTTAAAAAACAGTGTTTTCAGATATTAAAAAAGTGTTTTCCTTAAGTCAGTTTGTGTAACTTGACTCCCAAGAGTCAGCTGTGAAGGCTGAATTTAACAATTATTTTAAAGGACCCAACAAAGTGAACTCATTCAGTAAATAATGTGATGACCTATGAACTTACCTTTTAGATGCGTCTGATAAGAATGGTGCTGTAACATAAGCAAAAAGACAGAACATACCTGGGCTGTGGGCATAACCAGAAACTAATTCAAATGCTGGTCCTGCTTCTTAAACATTCTCCTTCAATTGTCAATTGATAGCCAGACCTGATGGCACAGCTACTCAGGTGGCTGAGGAGAAAGCCACAAGTTCAAGGCCTGAGTTGGTTACAGAATGAGTTCAAAGCTTCCTGGGCAATTTAGTGAGACCTTATCCGAAAACTAAAAACAAGAGAAGGAAAAGAAGGCTGAAGGTTGCAACTTGGCACAAGAGCTTCCTTAGCGCACATTAAGTCGTAGGTTCAATCATCAGCACTACAGAATAAATAAAAACAAGAATTGATACTAACTTCTAAGGTCTGCTATGAAAATTGAATGAGATCACTATTTTAAAGGCCCAAAAAGATTGATACCATTCAATAAAGTGTTCTTTTCCAGTCTCTACTGCTTTTTATTAATGGACAACTTTTAGCATTCTTGAATATTCTTAATATCCTCAATTAGACAATCTCTAGGAAAAATTCTGCTTTGCTTTTCTAAAAAGTGAAAGTTTTATTACATCAATCTAGATGATTTATGATTAAGCTTCAGGAGCATCTGACTTCCTTCAGAACAGTCTATTAGAAAAAGCAAAAAGCTTTTTTCCATATGTACATTTGATGGTTTCAAGAAATAAGCTGTTTTGAAGAGCAAAGGCTATAGATTGAGCATCTTCTTAGAATGCAAAAGCAAAGCAAAGGTTATAATCCTTGGGAAGTATAATGGAAGAGGCCTATGAATCAAAGTTCAATGGATGAAAAATTAAACACCTTCCTTTAGCTTAGACATAAAAACGAGTCAGTTTATGAGAAGAAAATAATGAATAAAAGTAAGTGAAAGTAGTGTTAGGGTTGAACCCTCATTAAATTTTACAACTCTCTCTCTCTCTAATTCTTTCCTTGTTGGAATACTTGCACATGCCCTGAGTACATAATAAAATAAAGGATCATGAAGGTAGGAGTCAAGGCAGTTTTGTCCCTAAAACTTTAAATGAATTACCATACCGTATAAATGTTAAGTCATTCATATACTGAATTATCATGTAATAATGCAAGAGTGTTGTTCCTTCCAAATGCATTGATTAATATAGTAGTTCAATTTAGGTTTAAAGAGATGACTAAAAGATACTTACTTACAGTGAGACAGATATTGTAGAGCAGGGTTCTATCGTTAATGGTGATGGGTTGTATTCTTAATAATGAAGAGAGTGGACATCAAGCACTATTGTCACAAAATCAACTCTAGGTAATATGACCATTAGCTGGGTTTAATTGTTTTATAATGCACATGTGCTCTAAAACATGATGTATGTGAAAAATCCATGGTGCTATCCATCAGATTAAAAAAATTAAAATTTAAAGAAACATAAGTTCCTTTCAAGTTGTGCCTCCTGGTGCTTACTAAGATCATAAGGTAGGAACTGTGGCCTCCTCATGTTCTAGATATTCATGAGCCGCTGGTCACTTTACTCCTGAGGCAGGACACAGTCATCAGCACTAAACAACAACAGCATGATAGGTGGGCCTGGTTAAACATGTCTGTCTGCCCATTTTCCTTCATGGGTCATGGCAGCTCAGACAGTCTGCAGTGCAAGGAAGAAAAGCACTCATTATTTCAGAAGCTTATGGTTCTGCTTTTATTTCCAAAGAACACAATTTGGAGGCTTTGAAAGAAGGTCTTAGCCAAATTCTGACCCATCCCAATCAGCTTCGTTTGCCTCTCTGGAGAGTGTTGTGCAGCTTCTTTTTTTTTTTTTTTTTTTTTTTTTTTTTTTTTTTTTTTTTTTTTTTGCAACACATTATAGTTTTATCTCACCCAATAGTAAGCTATACACAAAAGGTACTTGGCATAAGAAAAACACATTCGTGGTAAACATTTCTATCAATCTGAGGTAGTTAGAGAACTAGTTGTCTAATATTATGTCAAGAGCATGGTGGCTGGGGATGCAGCTCAATGTTAGTGCACTTGCTTAGCAAAGGGATGAAGCTGGGTTTGTTCCCGGCACAGTGAAATACAAACAAAGTGAATCCCTGCAAAACAGACCAGCTAACCAAGTCTTTCAATGGCAAAAATGACATGATGGCCTCAAAGTGGCTTAGGTAGACTGCACCTTCAGCAGGGCTACGCTCAGCTACGAGACATCCTCACACCGCCGCCCATACCCTCTCCTCTTGGACTTTTGCTACCTTTAGTACTACACTATATTGAAAGAAAGAACATGAAGCCACAGGACTCAGAGAATAACTACCAGATCCTCCCCAACTCCCTCCTCAACCTGGGACTCCGCATCTGAGATTCTTGAGTAGAACAAAGTGCCAGTGCCTAGAGACACAATTTATTGTGCAGCTTCTTACTGCTCAACAGTGAGTGAGCGAGTGAGCAAGGTGAGTTCTCACACTGATGCATACTCAGACTGAGCTTCTGAGCACGGTGGACCCAGAAGCAGAATTAGGGAGCATGAACCCACGCTTCACCCACGGTGACATGCACAGTGGTGGGGTGAAGGAAGCAACTGAACTAGAGGCCGGTGTCCTGACATCTTACTAGTTGTGATGAATTCCTTCATCATCCTTCAGTTACAAAAGGAAAATTCTCACTTTAAAAGATTTGTATGAGTGATCGCATAATAATAAAACAGTATGAAAATTATACATAAATTGCAGAGAACTATAAAGAGGACATATTTTATTCTAGATGGGAAATGTCAAACCACATTCAGCTTTGATATTAATACAGTCTTCCTCATTTATGAATTCCAGCATTTCTCCAGAATAAAGGGCCTTTTTCTAACCTGACTGGTTGTTATTGTCCTAAAAGCTTATATTGGAAGAATGTCTCACATTGACAAGTTCTTTGGGATTCATCTATAAAATATATTTGTGTTTCTATAAAATGTATCATTATGAATACTGTTATGTTACTGAGAATTAATTACTGGGTCTATTAACCTAATTCTAAATTAACATTATGATATTCATTCAGTTCAGCCCATAACCATGCTAACTCATTTCCTTATTAAATTACCATTGCTAACATTGTTTAGTATCCAGTTATGGCATCAGTAGAAATCCTAAGTGCATGAAGTACTTTTTATTCTAGGAAATTTGATAAGCTTCAGTCAATATTCAGTCACGTCTTCCACAAGCATAGAAGAACAAGACTAGTTTAACAACATCTATGATTTTGATATTTCATTTTTATATTACAATAAAATAAAACAATTAGAGCTGACGTAACCCTGATAGACATTTTTTACAATACCACTTATTTTGATATGTATACTTCCTGATAAGCAGAGATGATGAAACAGTGGACTATTACAGGGAGACAAGTTTCTATAAAAACCCATGGTATCGCTTAAGATCTCTGCTGCAGGCACAGGTGCGATTGGTTATTCCACATATCATTTCTCTTTTCAGGAACCAAAACTAAATAGGAGATCATGGCAAGTGCAGACTGGGGATATGATGGCAAAAATGGTAAGAGTACTTCTTTTACATATATCAAAATAGCAGCTTATTCCTGTTTCTAATATGGAATTTATTAACCATCTAACTTAACTGTGTAGTCACAGGTTAATGGTTTGAGTCATTTTTGAATAATTACAATATTCTTGTATTTATTTTTAGTAGTTTGTTTTGGGGCGTGAAGATCTTCAAAATATATTTGATATGTACATACTGTTTCTACACTATAATTGTATAGACAGCATAATTAGGCCTGTATTGTTGATGTTGCCAAATATACTGTTTACTAGTATAGCAACAAAAGATACATTTTTCAAGCACTGAATGTCATTTAAGAGGCCTGAATAAACCATAATCTAATAAACAAATGCTTAAAGTCCTGATATTTGGAATGAAGCATTCTATAAAATTGTGGTTATATGGATATGTTTGTTCTCATAGGTCCTGACCAATGGAGCAAGCTGTATCCCATTGCCAATGGAAACAACCAGTCTCCTATTGATATTAAAACCAGTGAGGCTAAACATGACACCTCTCTGAAACCTATCAGTGTCTCCTATAATCCTGCAACTGCCAAAGAAATTGTTAACGTGGGACATTCCTTCCATGTAGTTTTTGATGACAGTGGTAACCAATCTGGTGAGCCCAAAGAAAATTGTGATGTTTGTTTTCTTAGAATCTACTAAGTGATTATTTTGTTGAAAATAGATTCTTCTCTCTTATAATACATCCGACTACAGTTTCCCTTCCCTCCACTGCTCCCAGATGCTCCCTACCTCCTCTCTCACCCAGAGGTACCCCTCCACTTCCCTTCCAAAAAGAGCAGATCTCAAAGAGACAACAACCAAACATAATAAAACAGGATACAAAAGACAAGGCAAAGGTATTCATATTGAGGCCAGACAAGGCAACCCAATGTGAGGATGAGTCCCAATAGCAGGCAAAAGAGTCAGAGTAGCTTCAGAAATACCACAGCATCCTATGTATTTTGCACATTTATTTGTGTATCTTAAAATTGCAATGGCTGAGAGGCTTTGTGACCTCTTGGAAGATGATTTGCCAAGCTCCCAGCTCTGCTTTCTCTCAATCCTTCTCCTTCTAAATGAGCCATCTTACCTATTCTAGCCATTCCAGGCTCTATATGCTTATTTCTCTGAAAAAGCAACTTTTCTCCATAAGAGTCTAGTGATTAAATCAGTATGGGCATGAAAACAAAATGGAAATATTCTAAACAGGATGAGAGTGGGTGATTAATGAGAAGACAGGTGAAGCACGAGTTGCCCTCATACTGAGAATCTGGCATGTTGCTTACCACATGGTCAGATTTTCATCAGTATTTATTGAGTAAGCTAGTAAGTGACCATTCTGTAAGTTCCAGTGATGTGAAACACTATCTTGCTCTACTTTCCCACAAAGTTCTAATTGTAAATGTAAGGTTCCTTAGGGGTGTGCCCCTTGCTAGCACTAGGTTAGATCTAGTATTTTTATTGCTTAAGTAATCATATGATTAGATATACTTGCCAGGCTGGACTGTCATTCAGAGCGTAAGTTTTTAAAGTGACTTTGCCCCATGGGCAGTATCTCTTGGTCCCTTGTCAAAGGGTCTCAACAAATTTGTCAAACTACATTCTTGTATCTTCAATGATTATTTAAAAACAGGTGATGGGGAATTTTTTTCACTAATAGAAATTGTGCATAATATCCACACAATAAGGTTGAATGAAGGAATAAACTTGCAAATTAATGGAGATCCAAGGAAAACTATGTGATAATATAACCTATTCACTTTGAAATATGTCATTTTGGTAACATAAATAGGTAAAATTGTGGTTCCTTTGTTGGAATTTTTGTATATTTCATGAGCTATATTATTGCTGTCATAATCAGGAAGGCACTATATATAAGAGTCATTATCAGAAATGTGGAGTGGGGAAACACGATGAAAACAAACGGTAGACACCCATTGGTGTTTGTTTCTATTTCACACAACACAGTGCAGCCTTGATTTTTATTGAATATGGACTAGAGATCACCTGGCTGACAGTACCTCTCTTTCTTTCAAGTTCTGAAAGGTGGCCCTCTCTCTGGTGACTATCGGCTCACCCAGTTCCATTTTCACTGGGGCAACTCAAATGACCATGGATCCGAGCACACCGTGGATGGAGTCAAATATTCTGGAGAGGTAATGTGATATGTTAATGAGAGACAGTTCATGAGAGTGCTCCAGAAACAGCTCTGGTACTAGAGGAGCTATTTGAGAATGCCTCGAAGAGGACAGCTTGCTGATCTTTGTATAAAAGATATATAAATCTATTAAAATCAAACACTGGCACACCATATGTTACAATAGAGGGATATTTTTCTATGGAAAGAGACGCCTGAAGTTGTAGGTGAGAGTTCATGAAAAACTTTGACATTTTACCACCTTCAAGAATTGTTCTACCATTCTTTAAGTCTCTGAACCAAAGAGTTTTCTCACAGGCTATAAAATATATGCAGTTTATTGCAATAGAATTAGATGCTAAGTGATTGAATACAGCTATAACTTGTTTTGCTTAAATTTGTAAAGTTTAGATAATACCTATCAGTGTTGCAGAAGGCAATAAAAACTCATTCCTAGTTTCCCTCTGCAAAGCCAAAGGTAGACTAAAGTGGAAAGAAAGCCTAAAACATTATGGTTTAGGAAGGATACTTGTAAATATTCATGGAATCTAAATCAGGGTTTATATTCACTCAGCTAAATTGAGAAAAAAAAAATTAAAGCCAATGATGAGAAACATTTAGTCACGAAGTCCAATGTGCTATTTAATATTCAGCTCAAAAACTTGTATGGGGTATGCACCAGGTTCAAGAGGTAGTACAGGTGATGGGTGACAAGTGCAAGCTCCTCCCTTGACCTTCTTGGAGTCAAAGCTGAGCCTCTTATTGGCTGTGTGACTCTTCTCACCTACAGAGTTGGGTATACAGCATTAATCTTCTCATATACTTAAGCCAGCTTCCATATTATAAATACTCAATAACATTACCTGTAGTTCTACAGAGGAGATAACATGTGAATCAATGTTGGAGATTAAGTAAATTGTAGTAAATGTAGTAAATTGTAGTAAAAGTGCTTACAAAGAATTGTCAGTGAGTGGGAAGAATAAAGGACAATAAGACAATGCTTGAATTAGAACTGGGGACTGATCTTCCTCAAAGTGAGTGTTCTAATTACTTATATATCAACTATTGAGCCTTTGTAATATACTAGATTTTTGTTTTTAAAGTAACTGAGTCAGAATCTACATTTTTAGGGGAATGAAAACCTTTTAAAAGAAGTGAGGTAAGATAAGAAGGAAAGAGAGGGGTAGAGAGAAAGAAGAGATCAGATAAATGTATGAAAATAATAGACTTGAAGATGGTAACTGTATATTGGGTAATCAAACCATTGAAGTGTGGCATTTGAATTCAGTCCTACTTGTAGAGAAAAAGGAAGGAAATTCCAGGAAGTCAGCAGCTAATACAACCCCCCCACCCCCGCAAACTATGACCAAGTGAGGAGGTGTTCTCTGCTAGGCATAGAGGGTGATAAATGTGTAAAGTATGAGATTTGTAATAACAGTGGCACTTTTTGACTGAGTGATTAGGTGTTTAGTGTTACCTTTCCTAAGAGGAGAAAATGACAAATGTGGTATGAGGAATCAAGCTTTCCTTTGGCCATGTGACTCCTCAGCCATCTGGTAGACACTCATATGAAGATATCAAGACAGTGTCACGAACACATCCAGGTACATGTGGATGCACAAGCCTAAAATTCCACCAAGAGTTTAGGCTGCAGAATTTGACTGAGGGGATCCTGGGAAGGACACCGATATACCCAAGCTTCTGAGCAGTCAAGGAGCTTCTTACAAAGTTATCTCATGTGAGAGAAAATGATTTTGTTTTTTATTCTAAAGTTTGTTGCCCACAAGATGAGAGCTCATGCATGCACTTTCTGTTTTTATTTTTGTTAGCTAATATTATTTCCTTCTTGGGTCTCTGAGGGAGTTGAAGATTAGTTAGTTATAGTTGAAGGTTAGTTAGTTATAGTTGAAGATTAATTAGGATAGAAAGTGAATTAGATACATTTTGGACTTAACAAAATAGGATAGATAATGAAATTATTTTCTCTGAATTTGTCAAATACAAATGGACTAGACATTGTTTAGACATTTATTACTTGTATATATTGTATATAGTCATTGTACTTTTGTATATAGTTTTTCTTTTGTTAGTTATAACCTTTTTCTTTTTTTTCCTTTTTATTAAAATAGAAAAGGGGAAAAAAAAAAAAAAAAAAAAAAAAGATGAGAGCTCACATGTATTTTATCTATCTGTACCGTGATATATCTTAAATATAACAAATTAACATGTAATTCATTTTCTGTCTTTTTATTTGCCTCAATATTAATAATGAATTACCTACATGTCACCACTTCTAGCTTCACGTAGTTCACTGGAATGCTGCAAAGTACTCCAGTGTTGCTGAAGCAGTCTCAAAGGCTGATGGGATGGCAATCATTGGTGCTTTTTTAAAGGTGAGTCATAGGTAGTTACATAGCTGTCACTTGATTTTTAAAACGGTAGATGTGAAACTTATTATCATTTAAATTTATATTATCATCGAAGAGATGCTCTGAAGAAAACCATCATTAAGTTGGTGAAGACTGAATGACTAAATGACTTTTGAGATTACAGTGTTTGGAGGTGATTTTTATCAAACACTGTACAAAATGTGACAAAAATGCACTGAGTATAACTAACATAACAGATAAAAATGAAGGTGTAATTTTTGTGTCATTGTTTTGATAAACATCTAGTCTGTCTTACATACCTCTGGCCATCTTATTCACGATCAAATTTAAGCCATATTTTCTGTTTCCTACTTTGTTTGTCATGAGAAACTGGCAGAGTACAAGATCCATAAAAGTATATATACTTCAGAAAATTTCCTCTCTTGGAGAGAAAGAAATCCCATTTCTCTCTCAACAGTTATTGATGTTAATTGAAAAATTAAATTTTGACTAAAGAGTATTTTATAAATTACAGTCTTCAACCCATATTTTCTTTTTCTTTTAATTCTCTAGGTTGGTCCAGCCAACCCAAACCTGCAGAAAGTACTTGATGCCCTAAACTCAGTTAAAACTAAGGTAAATAAGCTAAGTAAGCTAATTTAATCCTGAAAACAAGAGCACACAGAAGTACAGAAACCATCCAGCTGCCTGTTTGAAATGGGAAACAGGAAAACTGGTGTAGAAGTCAAGCAACCACAAGGTGCCATGGAGACCTTGCTTGTCCCGGAGAACCTGATGGAGGAGTTGGTTTTGCTTTGTTTTCACGGTGCTTGTTCCTAGTAAAGCATGTTGCTCAGTCACTTTTTGATCTGCTAAAAATCAATCATACTCAAGTTTGATTGTTTTTTGGCAGATCATGTTTCATGAAAAGGAATATCTTGATTTCTTTAGCAATGTAAAAAAAATGGGCCTGAAGAGCCCTATTTGAGAACTATGATTCTGAACTAAACTTAAAACCCTTAATGTATTGTCTGAAATGTCCATCCTTAGTGCACTGTTTTAACATTAACTCCTTATTCTGTAGGTCAAAGTGATTCGTCATTTTCTTTCACAATGAGGAGAACTATTATGTTTTTATGTAAAATAAGTTTGTTTTATGCTGAGTTCGGAAAAAAACTTTGAGTAGGCATATTGTAAAGTGAGAGATGGAAAATGAAAACAGAAGGGAATAGTGAGGATAAAAGCAGAAAATAGTAAAATAAGAAAATGACAGATAAGTGCAAAACACTGTTTTATAAATAAATAAATAAAACTATTCTATGGAATAAGCAGCAACAAAAAAAATGACTTGGGCAGCTTTGGCAAAGGAAAGCTGGCACAAATACCAAATGCTATTATAGAGGGACTGGCAAGATGGCTCAGCAGGTGGTTGCTTGAGTTCTGAGAACCCACAGAGTGGAAGGAAAGAACTACCTCCTACAGGTTGTCCTCTGACCTCCACATGTGCATCCCCATGCATATGCCTACAGACAGATGCATGAATTAATTAACTAATAAGTGTAAGAAATTCTATTCAAAGCTTAGAAAAAATAGTATAGATGTGGAAGAAGAAATTTTGGAGCAAAAACTGCTTATAACAGTATACCAGTAAATTTGAAAAGTCATAAAATGAGTGATATTTATGACAAGACAAAATTATAAAGATGAAACAAAAGAAAAACCAAATAGACAAAAACTCTAAGAATAAGTTGAAAAGATAGTGAAAATATATCTATTAAACAAAGATTCCATGCCCACTCCAATTTATAAAAAAATTTACTCAACCTTTAAGAAACAATCAAATGGGGTAGATGGCTCAACAGATTTTTCCATGCCAAAAAAAAAAATTGCCATGTAGACATGAGTGTCAACATTTATAGCTCCAGAACCTACTCAAATGCCAGGGGTGCATGGTGTGTCCACTATAATTCCAGAGCTTGGAAGAGAGAGACAGAATTGCTTGAGCCAGGTGCCTAGCTAGACTAGACTTAGCTAAGGGCTCTGGATTCTACTGAGAGACCCTGCATATAAAATAACATAAAGAGCCATCAAAGAAGACTCCAGCCACCAACCTCAGGCCTTCACATCCATACTCACACACCTGCACATATGCCTTCATGTGAACATGAGTGAGCACACATACACATGTGCACACATAACACACACACACACACACACACACACACATACATAAACATACAAAATATCAATGAAGTACAAAAAAGGAGAAAGGATAAATCATGGAGTGTCAACTAAACATTTGCCCAGGTGAAGAGACAGAAAATTCCTATGAGTCTAATGAAATCTAGTACACAAATTGGGTAAAGAAGATTGCAAAAAGGAATTTGTAGCACAACCTTTCCTAGTAGTATGACTGAAATAACCCTGAAATTATAGCAAATCAGTGACAACAGCATATTGATAAAGTCTTATTTTTGAACAAGTAGAGTTCACTCTTGATGTAGATAACTTAGTGTTAGGACATCTTTGAGTAGATGCATTATATTATTAGATTAAATATGAAAATTCGTATCACCAGCTTCTCCAACTGAAATTGTTCTACTGAAGTCAAGAAAAAGAACAGTACAGTGTCTACTACCACCACAATTTACATCAGAATTAAAATTTTAACCATTAAACAAATAAAGAACAAAATATAAAGCTAAGTACTGGGAAAGCAAAGACAAAGTTATCATTATGTGTCAATTATATGTTAATTGTATTTACCTGGAAAATTTAAAAGAGTCAACTAGAAGATGAAATTGATACAAAAGTCTGGTAAAACTATTTGTATAAAAATTATCATGCAAATATCAGTTAATTTTTTATACAAATAATAACTGATCATGAAAAATCATGGGAATAAATAAGAATAAAATGTTAACTGATGAGCTTGTCCTGAATGTCCTGAATGAACAAGATGGAGCATTATCCAAAGAAATTAAAATGTTTCCTAATGAATATTGTGTCTTTTGATAAATACAAATTTCAGAAAATTTTTTAGGTTTTTTTTCTCATTCACCAAATGAAGAAGAAGATTTAATATCCAAAACTTCCAAAAATATAGTATTTTTGTGTTATTTGTATCATTTATACTCACAAACATATCAGTCATGATAATTGTTTTAGAAAAGCCAATTTAATGCACCTAAAATCTCTAGGTAATATGTAAGGTGGGGTATATATTGATACATTCTATAGCATGATATATACTGCTTTTGTTCCCAGGGAAAACGAGCTCCATTCACAAATTTTGACCCATCCACTCTCCTTCCTTCATCCCGGGATTACTGGACTTATTTTGGCTCTCTGACTCACCCTCCTCTTCATGAAAGTGTCACCTGGTTCATCCTTAAGGAGAGCATCACTGTCAGCCCTGAGCAGGTATCAATTAAAATGAATTTGCTTCTAGTGAAGAATCCCCAAGTTTTCAAAAAATAAAATAAAAACAAAAGCCCATGCAATAACTTTTTTTACTGTATGCAGAAAATAGATGCATGAGGTTCAAAGTTGCTGTTGTTCTTCATAAAGAAAAACCAAATTTGTTAGATGGCTTCCTCAAATGTCAGGAACAGAGAGTGAACTCTCCTCGGAACTTCTACCGTGGCTCTCAGGTGGCCTAACTAAACAGTTTGGTTTTTCCAGCTAAAGTTTTAAAATATCCAGCAAAGTACCTTTTTGCTTATTGCTTGTAAAGATGATGCTGCTTATTGATGAAACAGCTACTTTCCTGAGCTGTCTTGTGTTTCTCACACCGTTGTGCCCTGTCTTTAACTGACGCTTGTTGAGAAGAGTCATTGTACACCAGGCGCTGTGCATGGATTAACCCATTTAATCTTAACAACAGACCCCCAATAGAAGATGTTATATGAAATTAAGGGATGCTGAACTGACATACTACTTGCACAAGCTCCCCAGCTAACAAAGAGAAAGCTGGTGGTCTGACAGAGCTAACTATGCCTCGTTTAGGCAAAATACCTGGTAGAGAGGCAGGAAAATGAGTCCAGCCACTTCCTGTCCACTAAGACAACCACCGCTGTCTTCAACTGCTTTCTAAACAGCGGTGCGCTAACTTCTCTGAAAACAAAGTGCTTCTGAGACTTTAACAGCTTTTCATCCTTCAATCGTCTCACCCCACAGCTGCAACAACTCCGCAGTATCCTGTCAAGTGCAGAGGGAGAGGCGGCTGTTCCTGTTCTGAGCAACCACCGTCCCACCCAGCCCCTGAAGGGCAGAACAGTGACAGCTTCATTTTGAGACCCAGCAAGGAGTGAGTTCAAGATCAGGACCGGGCCCCTCTTCAGCTATGACCTAGTAAAGTAATCACTTTCAAGAAACAAAATTATTTCAGTGCTAGCAACACAGCATATCTGCAAGTTTAATCCATAGAACTAAAACCCACTTCTTTTGATTCTTAATGCATAATGCAAATTAATCTATAAGCTTGCCATTTGCCATCTTTGAGTATGTACCTGTGCTTAAATCCACCTTTTTTTTGTGGAATGCTTCATAGTATAATTACATTAAGAGATTTGTTCCCTTGCCAATCTCTCCATTTTAATTGAACCAATAAAATGGCTTTATCTCTTCTTCTTGTCTATTGTGCGTTTGCGAGTCCTGCCCCTTTCTGAGTGGAGATGAAGAGTGGGTGGGGAGGCGGGTAGATGGGAGTTGAGGGTAAGAAATGGGAAAAGAGGATGGAGGGGAAACTGGTCAGTGTGTAAAATAAATAGAAAAATTCTAATAAAATAAAAAAAATTTAAAAAACCATGAGTTTTCTCCTCCATTTACAGTCATAAATCTTAAATAACTTACTCGAGTCTTTTGTCTCAAATGTAAGCTAAGAGCATCCAGGAATGAAACGCTGGCTCATCTATTTGACTTCCGATGGCCTCTGGATTTAGTGCTGTTATGTCAGTACAACACTGTCTTCATCTGTGCGCTCTAGGATTAGAAGGAAAAAAAGTACCTTCTGTACAGGAGGATGGTACTTCTGTGCATCTTTTTTCCGTTCTTTCTCCGTTGGCAAGGCCAGTGCTTTTCTGCCGCCGTTATGGCTGACAAGTTTGTAAGGACATTCTGTGTTTTAAAACTGAAAGGGGCCGGGCGGTGGTGGCGCATGCCTTTAATCCCAGCACTCGGGAGGCAGAGCCAGGCGGATCTCTGCGAGTTCGAGGCCAGCCTGGGCTACCAAGTGAGTTCCAGGAAAGGTGCAAAACTACACAGAGAAACCCTGTCTCGAAAAACCAAAAAAAAAAAAAAAAAAAACTGAAAGGGGCTGAGAAGATGGGTCAGGCAGTGAAGTGCCCTGCCACTCAAGCACAAGGACCTGAGTTCAAGCCCAAGAACCCACACGAAAAACACAGCTATGGGGGCGTCATTGTAACGCCAGTACTGAGGAGGTGGAGGCGGGCTTATCTCGGGGGCTGTCTGGCCCGCTGCAGACAGTGAGTCATATTGATTGCTTTTATGTGTATGCTGTGTGTGTGTGTGTGTGTGTGTGTGTGTGTGTGTGCGCGCGCGCACATGTTATGTTTAGGTATATGTGGAGGTCAGAGACCAATATCAGATGTGCTCCTCAGTTTGCCTCTATTTTTTGAGACACAGTCTTTTTCTGAATCTGGTGTTCAATGATTTGGCTAGATTGACTGACCAGTGAGCTGCAGGGTCCTCCTGTCTGTCTCCCCAGTGCTGGTGTTACAAACAAAAGCTCCCATATCCAGTTCTTGTGTGAGTGATGGGGATCTGAATTTAGCCCTCATCTTGTGTTGTAAGCGTTTCACAAGCAGATATCTCTCCAATCCCAATAATTACACTTTGATTCTAAAGCCATCCTAAGAGCCAAAGAGAAGGGAAAGTTAACTTAATTTGAGGCATTCATGTTGAAGGGATGCTCAGGATCCATATTTTAAACATTTTCTGGAAAACAAGCAATTTCAAAATAAGTCTCGGAGGAAGGACCTAGAAATTACTTTATTCTATGACCTGAGTTTTGTTTTTTGTTTAAGGTTAAAATGGATTCCAGGATTTATTTATGTTATGTGAGTTTCACATTGGGAAGGATAAAAATGCGACAGGAGACAAATGAAGGTCACCAATCTGCTCCCCCTACGCTGAATACCCTCAGGAAGTTGGCTTCCTTCTTGCTCCTTCATGGGGTTTCCATGCTTCTTTAAAGTGACCAATAAAGAGGTCATGCCCAGACATGGAGGAGCTTTTGGACCATCTGAGGATTTCACTCACCTCCCTTCTATTCTGTGCACTCTCTGCTTGCTGACTTTGGGTGGAATATTGAACAGCCTGCAAGAATTCTATGTTATTTTTAAGAAGTTTGGCAGCCGACTTTTATGTCAAATTCCCTGGGACTCTCAGAAAGGCCTAGAAGAACGGTTTTATTTCAACTTCAATTTCCTCCGCTGTGTATCCAACCAGGGTATGAACTTCAGATCACTCTGCCTTTTGGGGTAAAGTCAGCTGCTCAACAAGTGTTCCTTCACCACAATGGAAGGTTCTAGATCAGTGGTTCTCAACCTTCCTATGCTTCAATACTTTAATACAGTCCCTCATGTTGTGGTGACCCTCAATCATAAACTTATTTTCATTGCTATTTCATGAATGTAATTTTGCTACAGTTATGAATCATAATAGAAATATCTGTGTTTTCAAAAGCTCTTAGGTGACCCCTGTGAAAGAATCATTTGATCCCCAAAAGGGTCCTGACACACAGGTTGGGAATGGCTAATCTAGATGATCTATTGATATCTTTTTTGCTGAGATGAGCCAGTGTACTAGGAGAATAGATCTAAAAGAGTGAGGTGAAGAAAAACCATCTTTCAATATAAAATAAAATATTACCAGGGCTGAGGGGATGGCTCAGTGCACAGAGCACTTGCTGTGTAAGTCTGAGGACCAGAGTCTGGATCCCCAGAAGCCACATTAAAACCGTAGCAGGTATGGTGACCATCAGTTATCCCTTGAGCAAGCTAGCTGGCTACCAAGCTTAGTCAAATGAGAGACCATGCCTCAATAAATATAGTGGAGAACAATTATGAAGATGACTAACCTCAGCTTTCAGCCTCCACCTATACATGTGTATATACACTTATATGCTCCTACACAATCCAAACATTCATATATACATGCATGATGCACACATACTACACACATAAACAGGCAAAGGGAAAAAGAAAATAAGTCCATCTCTATACAGAGAAGTAGATACTGGAGCCAGCGCATAAGCACTGGCTGGGTTGACCAGATGTGGAGTCACAGTGTGTCTTCTCATACCCTTCATTTAAGGCACCATTTTTAGAAACCATCATAATTGAATTTGTGTGATGCAGTCCATTTGGCCCAGCTGTGAAGAGAACACAGATATAATAAGCATGAATAAGAATTGCTTTCAAAGAGACAAGAAAACATGATCCCCTGCAAAATTCCCAAGTCAAGTACAAGCTATGTTTTCTGTAAACCTGTTCTCAGTTTTTAAAGTCTACACGAGGTCAAATGAAGCAAAGAAAAACAGCACAGTAGTGATTTTAAGTTAAATCAAGTTCAGCACTCTGAAAGACAAAGGCATCATTCTGTAATATCACAATCCCTCTAAAGCATTCGAAAAGAATTCCAATGTTTCCCTTGAGCAAAATAGAAAAGAATTTTACTAAAGATAACTGAAGGCCAATATCTGACTTTATGCACAAAAATTGAATGGGTAGTATGCATGATAAACCAGATGCTAACTCATGTGAGATGAACTTTGACTCAAGGAGAAAGCAGCCAGGGAGCAGTTCATATTGCAAAGAACACCATCCCATCAGACTATCGTCGCTGAGAACTTGATTTTACAGGCACTCTTTGGGGGAATCAATCTTTCCATTGTAAGAATGTAACTATTCTGTAACTCAAAGTTTTAAAAACAATATATACAAATGAACTCAGTTAAAATGCCTTAGACATTAAACAGACAAAAAAACATAATCACATCTCACTATACCACACATTTAAACAATTACAAAACCCCTGCTCACCTATGTACTCAGACTTCTCCATCACCTCATATACTGTTCAACATCTCTCTCTATTTTTCTGGCATCTACCTTATCATTGGAGAAAGAAGTCACTGCTTCCCCCGAGGCCATTATCCATACCAACTCATTCATCTGCTTCTAATGTCACCAGACTTTTAACTATGCCCTGCATTCAAAGTCCATTTTAAATAACCACTTGGTATAAAGCCTCTCATTTCCTTCTTGCAGTGAAGCAAATTAAAAGTTCCTTACAATTTGCCCTGAAGATCTGTCATGTGTTTCAACCTAACACTCCAGACTCATCTCTTACCACTTCCCTCAAGTGAACTGTACTCCAGCCACTGAGCCATGTCTGCAGTCCCTGAATAAGCTATGCTATCACATACTGTGGTGCCTTTCCCACTCCCAGCAACAGGCTTCATGGTTCCTATTTCCTTCAAGACTAAACAAATACCTGCTTCAATTAAGAAAAGCCCATATTCCTGCAGGTAGTATCTACATAGATCCTCAAGCCTAACCAATGAGAGTTCCAGGCTATGCACTACATTTTGAGTCCTTAAAAACGCATAAGAAATCAAAACCAAGTTTACTGAATCACCTATGATGCCTCCTCTCTCTCTCAGCATCTGACTCTCAGACCAGCACAACAGACCTGGATATCGGTTGTAGTGACTAACATGATCAGATCCTAATAAAATGCCCCTCCACTTCTCTACACATGTGTTCTAGGAACATAGGCAACTGTGACTAAGTGACACAAAGGCTACTGGGTTACACCAACACAGATGCTGGAGACTAACTAGGGAAAAGGGGAGGATTTGCAGTAAGAGTGCTTGAGCAAAAGCAAGCCACAGTCATCACTCTTGTTTGCTGGCACATATGCAAGCTGAAATTTGCAAATAGGTTCTTGCAAAACAAACTGCTATTCCCAGTGGAGAGCCAAGCATGCACTTTCTCATTTGCTTGTGTGCTCAAATGTATGGTTCCATGACTTCTCACAAACCCGTGAATATTCACAGCAACTACACATGGCAGCTGAGGAATATTGTACAATTTTAAACAACCCACCCTAACCCTTCCACTTGAATATTAGGTGGGTTAGAAGCAACAAGTGGCTTAGTCATTCAACTACTCCCTAAACATGGCTCGGCTACATTTGGGAATAGTGTTCTTTTCTGAAAATATTTAATGTAATGATTCCATTTTGTAATTGAATCAAAAATTTCAATATTAGATAACACTTTTAACTTTTTAATTGTTCATCTTATATTCTACCTTTCAAAATACACTACTGTATATGAAAAGTAAATTTGGGTATTGAAGAGTCGCCCCGTGGGTAGGTTGTTTATCTAGCATGCATGTTGCCCAGGATTTAATCTCCAGCACCAAATATGCCAAAGCACTGGGAAAGTAGGCGCAAGAGTATCAGCAGTTCAAGGTTATCCTTGGCTGCACAAAGCTCAAAGCCAATCTGGGATACATGAGAACTTGCCACAAAAAAAAAATTTTTTTTTTGAAGTCAGAATTTTAAATTTTGTATACTGGTTTCACCGGTAATTTATCAAAATT